AACCTTAAAAAAACTTAACTGTACGAGAGGTGCTATATATGCCTCAAAAGTCAAATACATCCAGTGATATTTGTTTTAAGTTAAATCTAAAAAGAAGCACACCCCGAGGGCACTACGAAATATGGGCAGAGATGAATATCCAGGCAATCCGCCTAGGATGCATATATGCCAATAAAAGACTGATCAATTGCAGTCTTAAACATCAATGGAAAGATCCAAACAAACAATACAAAAGTGGATTAAATACAAAATGTGGTACTTTAGGCAGGAATACAGCTATGTTAGTCAACGTATAGAACTTAGTATAAATCACGTCGACATTCCAAGAGAGTAATTTAATAAAATATAAAACAAAGAAGTTAACATTATAGTAGTACTAACGAAAGGAACTAAACGTGCAGAATATACGTCAAAAAAATAACAAGTTGAAGGATATGAAGTATAAGTACGAGAACCTCGAATTTGGAAGAATGAATTCACCTGGTTCATTAAGACCAATTCTGAATCATGTTGCGAAACGTAGTTCAAATAAAAGAACATTTAGTTATAAACTTTCATTCGCTTGTGTATATCTATATTGAACGTGTTGATGGGCTGCTTGGTCAACTAGTGAAATCTGTCTTGCAAACAGGTTTTTTCTCAAAAAGAAGAAATATTGCATACCTGTGAACCATAAGGTTTGTCAGTATTCAGTTGAGATTATTTTTATTTGTCATGAAATGATATTTCAAGCATTAAAATGTAGTTGAAGTGGTTGGAAAAATTATTACATAGGGATATATTTAAGGCAAGCCAAATCACTGTTTATATCACGCTTCAAGTAATTTAAGTACACAATTCTTCAAGTCCCACTTCCGCCTTTGGTCAGAATCAGTAAATAATAACTCATATAAAGGAGATACATCGGTTCCTGACCTTAACAAAATTTTATTTCAAATGATCATCATTGCCTTTTATCATATTATATGACTTAATAGGATTACTCATGTTCTGGTATCACACTCAACGAGGCAGACTACATCCCTATTTTAGGCGTGTATAAAACATGTATGTGGTTAAGGATTGAAAGTTTTAGCCTTGATATTGAATTCGTGCTGGTTTTCAAACCCAACTTCAGTTGTTTGATCTGGGATTGCTAACAGTGATAAGTTTGGATTCATTTGTATTTGTTGTTTGAATCTTCCCATTGATGGTTAGAACTACACTTGATCAGACTGATCAAAATATACGGATTAAATTTGATATTCCTGGACAGATTTGAAGCAAATTAAGATTACAGTTGTTTTATTTAGAACAACATATATAAGCGAACAATATTGTTTTCGATTAGATCTTTATCAGGCTTTACTCTAATATACAGTAATATTTATATGCATATATGAAATTATTAAACCAGTCAAGGTAGTTAATTTACAATATGGGAATATTTCAAAAGTTGTTTAATTATCATGAACCACCAAGGTGTCCTTTTATCTGAGTATAGTTTATTTCTTACTTGGGAATATTTTTTGTAAAGCTCCTAACTGAAAAAGTACGATTCATATTATGACGAGTTTCCATACATAGCGGTGATTGTCCGTTTTGAGTGAGTAGGCAATGTTTACCTCAAAAACGTATTTCGTTCCATTAGTTTCTCAAATGAAATGATCAGTTAGTGGTTGTTCTGAATCGTCTATTACGCTGTGCTTGTATGTCATCAAGGCAAGCAAAAATTATTTTTCACCCAACATGGTTGGTTTTATGTTCGTATTGTCGATTTTATTCCATTTGAGGTGATTTATTTCATTTTTATATCTCATGTTTTGTTTATTAGATCTATTAAACAAATTTTTTTAATATGTATATCCTTGTTAGATCTGTCAACTCTTGATTCAGATAAGAAATGCCTTGACACTGATCCTTACCTAAATGCATCTTTGGTGGTACATGCCCCAACATTATGGACTCGTGGGGAAGTTAAAGAATTCAAACAGTGTTTAACTGAAGATGAAGAGTCTTTTATTCGAATAAACAGCGGTGAAGTTTATTCAGTAAGCTGTAATAATATTGAAAACATTGGGCATGTTTAAGATATGTTGTGTATTTCTGTCATTCAATCATACACAAGGTAGAACGTGTCAAACTTGATTTTAAAAAAAATTGTAACACTATATCAACACAGCGGGGTGGAATTATCAAGGCATACCACCAGATTAGTGACTCTGTCAGTGGTAGTAGTAGAGATTACGTATATACAATATGATTCGAGGAAGGATGAACTCACGGAATAAGGATTATATGGTAATTTGGAGACTCAAAGTTTAAGATAAGATAGAGAATGAACGTATATATGCGACATTGTGACAAGGTCTAAGCCATGTCACTCAACGTTTTGAACCATTGGCCACAATAATCATGAGGATTCAAGCCAGGGAGTTTGCATCTACCATCATACATATATCGTTAATCTTACTGAATTACATCCTTACTATGGGCCGTTGCAATTGAAATATTGAGTTCTCAACAGGGGTAAAACAGTAGTATACTATCGTGTAGTTCTCCAGGTGAAATAAATTTGAAGTATTATTCTGGAAATTCCTTGTTGATAAATTTATCTGTGCACCGGTCTACTGAAAGAAAATGACTGACCACTCAGTCATATATGGTTTTGGCCAGGCTGTCTGATTAAATATACGTTTGAAGATTATGAAGGCACTATCTTAGCGTTTTAGAAAATGGCTTACTGAATAAGTCTGGGTTACGAAGCTGATAAAACAGTCTATGCAAACAATCGTACCCTATCATAATCATTGCACTGAGTCTTCAAACAGCAGAATTATTAACTTCCAACACTAAATGATGAATACAAGTAAATTGGTTTGTTCGTAGTTGTTGTTAAAGTGGATTTGCACCAGATTATAAACCCTTTGGAGATGCATATTTGGGATGTACTCATGAATTGCTTCACATTCATATGTATTGTTTGAATAACCCCTAAAAGGTAACTGAGAATCCCCCTCATTTCTTAGCTCGGAGATGAGAACATTCTGTGTACAGTTAAGAGATAATCGAATGGGTACCCACAAAAGTATGAGAACTGGACTTAGGAATTTTGAGATACTTGATTTCCATCAAATGTAGTAAGTAGATCCTAGTTTGTACCTACTTATTCTGTTCGCCTTCAGAATTCACTTTTTCGTCCATTTAAATGTCCTTCAATCTCCTTTAGCTCTCACGTTTTAAATTTTGACTATCGCGTTTAGTTGAAGTGGTGTATTCTTCACAGAGTTTGGGGTGCATAGTGTACTTGGCAGCGATTAGCATTAAAATGGAGTCATTGACTGCTCATCATGTTGGTAGATGCAGACTGCCTGGTTGGGGTCTGAGCGATAATCGCGATCAGTGGCTGAGGATTAGGTGAAATTGCTAAACATTCACAATAGAGCAGATGCACTCACTCTTCATCTTCCCCTGTATTTTAGATTCCAGTATTCCTTCGCATATACATTTTCACTTTGTGTTTTCATATTCTCAACCTTTTTTATGGTCACCGTTACTGCATTATTCCGACCTATTTTATCATGCGTGTTAATTTCACATCGTCACGCTAATATGGTGGACTAACTTAGGCCAGAGCACATCTGTCAGACTACGTTGATGAAGTAAGCCGATAGTGAAGCATATGCTTCGAGGTTTTATGCTAAATTTGTGTAATAGTTCATCTTACAGATACTCTAGGCGTTTGCATTTTTGAAAAACATTAATCCAGGTTCGTGTTCAAACACACCCATCGGGCACGAGTATAGTCTGGGAGTTCGCTACAGATGACTACGACATTGGATTCGGTTTGTTTTTTGAATGGGCGGAACCGCTTTCTGATCCTGAAGCGAAACAAAACAATCATATTGCATCAGTCAATGCCGAAGGTAAGTGATGAAAGGGGGTAACATGAACAACATTATCAATTAACCTGTCGACTGACTGAATCTTAATTATTATCACTATCTGCCTTCTTCAAACTGCCATCAAAAGACAAAATCAATATTCCCTAATTCATTATTAATTTAAATATCACTCAGGCCTACCCGGCATATATATGTGCATGGATTCAAGCTGTCACATGTACGCATCCTCATCACAGTGGACCAAAATCCACTATTTCACGAGTCGACTTGCCATCCTTACCTAGCACTTTGTGTCTAATTCAAGTGTTGCTTACTCAGCAATCCCAACGTATACAAGTAATGCTTCAAACTTGCAACCTACAGATATCCTTTATTCTTAATAGCTATATTTTATATCTGTAGATCCGAACAAAGTGAACTGCTAAACAGTAAACTCGCCCTCTGGTTGGTAGACGACTATCTCACCTACTTCAAAAGTGATGTGAATTTGTAAAAGCCGAGATATCTAAATCCATTCTGGGATTTCATCGGATACCGATTCCCCAGGGTCGATGAGACTTCCAAGATAAGTGTAGTGATTGACGCACTGAACTACTTCACTTTCTGTCGGATACATGATACATAATTATGAATTTAACGTTGATAGTAAAGATGCTCATTGGTAATTTGACTTGAGAATTATTCCAAAACTCTTCAGTATTTTTCAATTGTTTAGTCATGTGATTCCGCTTAAACAGTATAACGACTTAAATACAAAAAGGAACTGTAATAATGTTTTAATTTTTTCCAGATGGCCACTCAGTAGTAACCAAGGCAGAGAACCCGGAAAAGTCTAATATCTTAGTTGATGAGATCATACCTGTTTCACGACAGAACTCTCAAAACGAAGTGTGCTGTGGATCTCATTTGTATCCAGGTGCGGGGACATATGTTTTCAAATTCGATAACTCCTTCTCCTTATGGAGGTCGAAAACCCTATATTATCGCGTTTGCTACACATACTAGAGTGGTCATTCTTCAAGGTGAAAATCTATGCAGTTTGTCAAAAATTTGGCTGTGCACCATAATTTCCTAATTTTTTTCTGTACTTCTACTTTCTTTATAAGTTCAATAAAAATGGTTCAAAGTGCCTTTTTATAATAACTAGTGTCAACATTGCACAGTAAACATCATTTGAAAAAATGAGTTTTTTAGAGTTTAGACATTTTTATGATATATTAGTGATCGGTCTCATGAAATCTGAAATTCAAGTTAGTTTTTTTAATTGCTGCAATTCGTTTCTGGAAGTTATGTTTACGCCTTCGGACAGCTTGGGGTAATGATTTTCTTACTGAACTATTGGTAAAATCCATTCCTTTGCGAGCGTTTAGGGCCGTAACACGCTTTATTGTTGCTATGGTTTGATTTTCTTCATGTGATGCACGAGTTGAATTTCGTAGGTATCTGCTTGTTCGAAATAGTCGCTTATTGTCTGCTAAGACTTCACCTATTCATAAAAATAAACGAATTAAGAAGTTCATGTTACAATGATGTATGAGGAAAGTTTATCCACAGTAAAATAACTTGTCTTGCATAAATATGGCTACGTTTCTGTGTCTTAGTAAAGACTTTGGCTACTGAGTAGTGTTGCTATCAATGGTCCAATAGATGCGACTCACATTCAATATGTAGACTTTCATTGTGTTGTATGTTTAGAATTGCACATCCCAGACTGACTTTGTTTAGGCACCTATCCATCATTGTTGAGGTCGTTGATGCACGTTTGAGTCACATACTAGGATGCAGTAGGCGTTCAGTATTCCATTTTAATGGCTTTATACCAAAGTCATTACGTAATATGAAACAATGCGACAATTTCCATATAATGGAATGCTTTCATTTTGGTTTATCACTGCTTGAAAACAGGTCAGCAGTAACACGGTTTCTACATGGCTAGCCTTCCATAGTACAGTAGCAACACAAATTAGTACTGCTGATAGCAGCTAATACAACAAACTTTTGTAGTATGTTTATCCATCAAGCTATAAGATATGTGACAGGATGTACTATTTAAACTAGCAGGATTTGGTCCCTTCCCTGAGATGTCGCATTTACAAACGATATATAGTCTGGTCGTACACTAGCAGAATTTCTATCCTACTACTAACAAATGCACGATTAGAGAAAGTATGTTTACTTTCTGTTGAATTGTGAGTATTCACATTAGAATGATAAAATTATTAAATACATATAAGTCACTTATGATTCAAATTACATGCTTGCTGAAATCAACATTTTTTTGAAAATACATGCTGCTTTTACATATTCAATATAATGTTCCTGTCGTAAATGCTTTCATTATATATATATATATATATATATATATATATATATATATATATATATATAAAGAAAAAAATACCGAAATGCCCGAGGTTTTGAAGTAGGTGGTTCGTAGAGTTGTGAATTCGGTAGAAACTGGCACATGTGCATATCGGTTCAAATCCTTATACTTCACCAACACAGCAAAATAAAATTGTCAGGACAAAGCTTAAAGTAGTAGAGGTGGTAAGGGATTAAACAAAAAGGTAAGGCAACCAAAATACAATTCGGGAGGAATAGTTGCGTTTATAGTTAGACGAATTATCTCGAGGCCGGTACGTTTACATCTTCAAGCCTTTCACGGCTAGACGTGAGACACTATACTTTGGTACACTAGCAATTTTATATGTAGCGACGTTCTAGAGGATATTAATTATTGAAACGGTTGAAGGAAAATGTACCTTAGTTTTTTTTTTACTCAGTGGGGTCTGAACTTGCAGCCGGAATAGTGCTGACGATTGAGCCTAGCGACTCAGATTGCAATAAAACTCGAAATACGTTCTTTAAGTCTGTTTCATGAATCAGTAAACGCTATCGTAGCAGACAGTGTAGGTTGGGGTATAGCCCAACACGGTCGATACAAAACTCAGAAGACGGTGATTCGAACACTCGGTCACTACTTGGTTATCAATCTGAGCACGAAACTTGACTCTCGATTATATCTTACAAATCGGAAGTAATGAGGTACACAGCTTGCTATCCTAATTATTTGCTTAAGTACTCTGAATGATTAGTCACCTTAAAGTAACAGGTTTATGTTGTCTGTGTGCTTTTGGTAGGTAAGCGTCAATCCTAAAACTTGTAGTTGGACATAGCTTCGTCAGAGTATAACAAATCCAGATGGAACTGGTTCTTGTATACAGGCTGTAGTAAGATTACCATAGCCATAATTCATTATTTGAGAGTATCGCTCATGATATGGTTAGAACTCAAGCAAAATGCACTCTTCAGTGTAATACGAATATGTCAATGCAACAAGAAAGTAAGATTGAAACCTCCCTTCAAAAGTCACTGGTATAGCAAGCATTCAAGCAGCAAAACTTTGACAGATTAAATGGGAATTTGTTCGTGATGGAAACCCTAATTCTGATATCAACCTTAACCATCAACTATAAATCATACCTCTGATTCCTCACACTAGTTTACGGCGGTCATTTGATACCAGTCGTTAAATGGACACTCTCAGGGTCACTCTAATATCGATTAGAGGTCGTACATAAATTATAGTCACACCTGATTTTGTCTTGAAGTATGGAGCCCAGGAAAACGCTGATCTATGGGAAGCCGCGTGGAGTATTTTTGAAATCCTTATTTGTAACCGAAAACTGAGTTTCGTTTAGCACAGATAGATCATGAAAATAATCAGGGAAATAACTCATATATAAGGACCACCACAGAAACTGGATACCTTATAAGACACCGTATATATACGGTATTTTATTAGACCTAAATATGGGGATGACTCACATTTTATTATTTTATTGAATTGCAGCAGGTTGTTTAACGTGGAGGCTACGAGAGGAGCAGCCTCATCAGACATTCGAACGAAAGCACTGTCTTTCCACTTACCAGTCTATTCAAACGTTTGATAGCAACAGGGAAACGAACCTTTTTAGACTTTGGTATATAGAGTTCATGAACTTTTCCGAATTGTTCAATGTATTTTCGCAATTCGGATGGTCCAAAATATTTGGGTAAGCGAGTAATGTGCAGAACAACAAGATTATTTGTCATGCTTCTACAAAGTAACGCAATATCCCGTCCTCGCGCTTTAATCTTCAGCGTCCAGTCTTCACGAATGAGGATAGTAGATTGGTGGACCTATGTTAAACGTTGCAGTCTGTTTTCTAATAAGGGTTCAGTTTCTACCTAAAAAATTTTAACTGATGCGGCGGATAAGACAGTTTAGTCATTAACTGCTCTATGAGAAAAACGAAACTGCCGTCTAAGTTTACGAGATGGTGGTTTCTGAACCTTTATTTCTACTGCCCCTAAGACGATTAGTTTTGAAGAGTGGGAGAAGACCAGTCATTTAGACACCCAAATCGTTACTAAAGATACGGAAAACCAATATAAGGTCGCTTCAAGTTTTATGTTTCGATAAGGAGAAAAGGTTGGGTTGTTTAGAGGGCCCATCGTAAAGAAGTTTGAAAAGACGCTTCGCTAATCTTTTCCCACACAAAACATGCGTCAGTGTGTTGGTATTTTCAACGAGAAATGAACTGGCTACTTGGATACAGAACTCTAGGTGTAGTCTCAAATAAGTGGGATATGAAATTCCGAAAGTCTCTTCGTTAAAGTGATCAAAACACTCAAAAACTTTTTTTGGCTTCTGCATTGCAATACAAAGTTGTTTTTAAATCACAAATTACTGTGTAGCAGTAAAGAAATCCCCCAAATTAATGGTTCTGTAAGTCCTCGACATTTGATGCTGAACTCATTAGTTTTACAGGATATATCCATTTGAAGGCGTTCGGTTACTCATCCGCACCAGGCCATGACTGAGTACGCCGTGCTACCTATCCTTCGTAACTGTTAGCTACCTTAGACTAAACGCTCTTCAATACACCGATAGCTCTTCAAATATATCGTCGAACTACTTTCTGATTTCTGATTCGACTGTGTTGACATGCTCTGATTATTAGATTTAACTGTCACTCCTCAGTTTCTGTGTTGCTCCGCGCATGGAAAAGATATACCGTTGATTATATACTGGGGACAAGTACCATTGTAGAATTATGTTGCACGTTGTTATTATTATTATAGTAGACCTAATCTTAAAATTGTATATTAGTCATGATCTGACTGCCTAATCAATAAGATCTTACGTGGAAGTTAAATCATCGTCTATCTAATCTCATCGTACCATAAGAATAAGCTATTTAAAGTTTAGTGCTTTTGAAGAACACAATTAGGCTAAAGATAGAATAATATATTTAATGTGAGAGCAAGTCACCTCAACGTGACTGAGACATTCCATCCGATTAAATTTAGTTAACTCTTCTTGCCTTCTCCATTGTTGACCTTCTCTTCGTGTTAATTGATGAATATAAATCTTCTCAGTTATTATATGCTTGGCTTCAAAAATCGTGTGTTTAGGGTCCGTTGCCGCAACTCCGATGTGCATTAGCGCACTCTTTCTAGAATCAATGTTCAGTTTCCTACTTTGGGACCTCTCAAGTGATTCGATCAAATCGGCCTGGAGATTGAGATGTTTGGCTTCACTACTTAGTGTTTTACAGATTTTGATGTCGTCTACAAACAATAATGCCCATGTCTTAAGGAATAATGATAATTCATTGGGGCAGGGAAGAAAAGGCAGTGGATCTGAGGAATTTTTGGGTCGCATTACTTTGATAGGCTTTCATTCAAATAGTGTTTCATTTACACTAACCCTTTGACTTTAGCCACAGAAGAAATTTCTTATGTGTTCTCGTACGGCATCTATGATTCAGAAGCTCCAGAGCGTCTGAATAAGATTAAAGCGAGAAGCCTTATTAGATGCCCTGCTAGAAGTTGTGAATATGACATCAAGAGAAAAACAATTGTACTGAGATTCTATTTAATCCTTTCTCGCAAATAGTAAGTTAGTTAGGCATGAATGCATATTCCTGATCTCGTGTTACTCAGGAGTTAACAGATTTTATGATTCCATGAGGCTTTGAAAATTTTTCCGGGTTGTTTTTTCAAATAACTGATCTAATATGCTGGTGAAAATTGTGTGCTTGTAGTTAGTCAGTGAACATCTTGTCTCGATTTTAAGTGTTGGCTTAATTACAGAACCCAACAAATCCTAGGGAGCTAAGTTTGAGAAAGATCAAAGTTGAAAAATAGCACGAGTGTTCATGAAATATTTTTCACGAAGGGTGACAACAATCGTGCATGCAAACAACCAGAACCCGGTTTCTTACTAGGTTCGAAGTTAATAATCGATCGCACAACAGCTCCCTCAGTCACATGTACAAGTTCTATAGTTGGTATCTATTTGGTGTGGTTATTACAAGTATTGTTAAAAATAACCGTGGGGTAGACTTCACTGAAAAATTTGATAAAGTCTCAGCTTTGACCAAATCTGATTCGGCTAGTATATTTGAACTTTCGTGCAACAACAATAGAGAAATCCTATCATCACGTTTTGTTCTTCGTTTAGTATACGAAAACAGCCGTGTTTGGGAAACACAGCTATCTTATGCCAGTATTATTTCTGAAGTGGTGCAATATCTAGCCTTAGTCTTTTGAAATATATTCCAGGTTTTTGGTACTTGCGCTTAAACGGTTTGTGATCTGTTGACAAGAACAAGTCTCAGGAGCGTTTCATACACTCAACGGCTTTCAGGTTCCCTTACCGATCTGTGGATGGCAGTGTGATGCTTACGTGTTGATCATGGAATGAATGTTATTGTTGTTGGTTCGAACGAGACTTTAAACTTATTCCATTTGTCTTCAGATGTCCCATCTGCATCGACCAACTAATCTTTTGAGAGAACTCGGCCTCTGATTGCCGGAATGTTAGCCCGACAGGTATCGTGACTGGGTGAAGCATATGCATACTGTATTAACGGAAATCCGAAGTTCAGTACTACGTGACCCATGTTCACTAGTGGGAGGAAGTACTGAATATAGGTGATGTTATCACATCTAAAATCGTTGTGATTGGCTTGCATGGGTGAATGGAATTTTTATCGGAATTGCGATTCGTGGAGACTGCAGTAATTTTATAGCCCAACCTAACAACTAGCTTCGCTATTGATTTCACGGAGTTTTAATGAGAAGTGGTGACAACTGGAGTGAAATCCGTACTGGGTACAAGACGTTATCCACTTTAGACAATGAATAAAGTGTTGCGCGTGATCCCGAATCTATTGAAGCAAGACATCAACACCGTTAGTTGCAGGCTCAATGGTCTAGAGGTTAGGCGTTTATACGCGAGGCCGTAGGTCCTGATTTCGACATTAAGATGTAAACAAGTATTGGACGGGACTAAAAAAGAAGGCGCAGAATATAGTGGGTTGATGAATGCTGGTCGGCAGCCTATGCTCCATTAGAAGTAACAGGCGTAATTAAGTAATTCCCCATCCTCAAGTTGGGATTTCAATTCCGACTGCGTATAGTGTGTGATTTTTAAATGATCCAGTTGGATGGATAGAAATACTTTTACTCAGGTTTTTGAGTAATTTTTTAGGTCACAACACTATCCCAGTTATCACACCGGAGACATTTGTAAGACCTTTACTGATCGGGTCCTACCAATAGTCCATGTTCTTTATCTAAATACTAGATACATATTCGTTTTCACAGCACATTTCATTAGCATCTTGCAGATACCGAGCCCTTACTACTTCGTGTTTTACGTACTCATAGCCACAAATAATTCGACTGCATGCTGATCAGATGTTTTTTTAATACCATCCCCATGACCTTAGAATATGTCATCAAAGATTCTTTGATTTGAGTTTAGGAACCTGCTTCCCACAATTGATTTCTCCCACCTCACTTTATGTCATCGAATCAGACAATAAGTTCAGTTTAACTTCTTATGCGGCCATGACATCTCAACATCCTACCTGTTACGTACAGGGTTTTGCTCGTTCCCGTCATTGAAGTCCGGCATATCGATCTATTTGCAATTTACGAACCGAAATTAACAATAGAGCCAAACTCTAATCTAGGTTCCAAAGTTTATTCTCAATTTACAAATAGTCGACCGAAATGTCGTTCTAATAATAGTTATAACAATTATAGAAAAAACCCTCATATTTGAAGGTTCCCGGAGCAAAAGCTCTCAAATACCAAACCAAAAACAAAGAGAAACCAAGATTTTCGTGCAAGATCCAAACTAAGGTTTGGACAGATGGACAGCTGATTAGGTGGGTTAGATACTCGCCCTTGCCCGTTTGAAACCAAAGCAAAGTGATTGGGTAAAATGACGGTTCTATAATTCATCATAAATTTAAATGTACATTGTTACCTAAACAAATATGACCACTCAGCTATCCAACCAATAACTGTTCAATTGATCAAATCTAAATTACAATAAATAAGGAAGTTGATAAATTACGCAAGAAAATTACCGCTCACAACAAATAAATGTTATTCTATCCTGTCTGGATAGACCGCGCACAGATTCGTTCAAAAGATAATATTTAGTCGCTTTATAACACAGTGTTTCCAATTTGGGAAGAGTGCCTCAATTCACATCCAAAAATGCACAATTCCAGTCAACACAGGTAACGCAGTCAAAAGGAGGAACAAACCAATATGGCTTCCGCCAAGACTAAGTATGAAGTAAAACAACATAAGTGCAGTTCGGAAAGAAACACGGAAACTTAGTGAAGGCGTAATAAAGATAAGATTTATAATAAAATACAAATATTAACAATTCAAATGTGATAAAAAACTAACAATGTACAACTAAGGGGTTCAATAGGAACAAATTGCAAGTATATGCACGGAAATATTTTCACACACACACACACACACAAAACATTCAAAACGGATCTTACAGTTCGAAAATAATGATACAATCAGACAAGTGAAATTAGGAATATTAAATATAAAGGTTTTATTCAGCCAAATGTCTTCAGTTCTCTTTTAACACTACCGTCTCATCATTATTCTCAGAAATGTCTGAGTGAGATACATTTCTGTGGAACAACAACTTAGTGCTTTCTCACGCCTTAGTGATAAACATGTCATATATTTGAAGCTGTTGATGTGAATGACAACGAGTAGGAGAATTTAACCACTATAATAACTTAACTTTAACCAAAGTGGCTCACTAAAATATGAATT